TGTATGAGGATGATCTATGGTGATTTCAAACCCTGGAAGAAAAAAAGGAAATGTTTAGAACATGGATATAACATGCTTGTAATTCTACATACCATGCATGCCTCTGATCCTGGGAGGCAACGTAGATTGTTCCTCCAGTCAATTAAGACCATTCTGTGCTCAGATGCAAAGAGGACATCTTCTAGGCTCAAATAGATCAGTTATCTAGCACAAGAATGCAACAGATATTGCAAGCTTCTGAAGAACTATATTTCTTGGTGAAAATACTGACATACATTCAAATATTCTAAAATTGATTCTGAATTAATTAGAGGATAAAATTCTAGCAACTACTTGAAGTTTTTCCTGTCACTTTAATAACTCAAGCAAGTGCTACTCTTAGAATAGTTTTTAACCAAATTTGTTTTTAGAAGAGCTGTTATTCTCCTTGATTATTTTAAAAGAAAATATTTGAAGAAACTAACATTTTATATTCCTGCAAATTAACAGAACACAAGTTTACAGATTATGTTCACACTGGCAACCACAATTGTAAGCATCTATGACAAATTATCTTTACCATATTTCATGCTTTACCATGTTTCAGAGTTAGGATTAACATGCTTACACACCATATAGTCAAAGTCAAAATGTTTTCCTTAACAGTAACAAATGCATTTTGCATATAACAGGAAATAGTAGGAATGCATATTATTTACCAGTTTATCATGGCAAACCTATCAACTATCAAAGGTGCAAAAAGAATACCATTTTAACTGCTAAAAATCCTTCAAATGAAGAATTACAATAAAGATGTAACAACAGCTTAACAACATTAATAATGCATAGCGGTTTATCAGGGTATTCAATTCCTACCCTGGATTATCAAACTGACAATACAATTGGAACATTAGACTGTCAAGTTGCTAAGACTTCAAATCCAAAGTACAATGCCTGGAACCTAAAGGACATAAATCCTGTTAAGAGAAAACCCAAACCAACATTTGCACATTTGTATTTGTTTATAAATACAAGGATGTAAATATATTCACTCAAAACATAAACAAGGCATAAACTGGCTATTATGACAAGGACTGTCATCTGGACTGATGGCTTCCCAAATTGGCCAGCTGTGGAGAAGACTGGGGATGGGTTAGACTCTCCATTCTGCGGAACATTCCTGGGTCTGAGATTCATGAAGCAGCCCGTCCGCTTGGAAAACTTACCCAGGGTCTGCAGTATTATGCTCTCTAGAATGACCAGGTCTTGGGCTTGTTGCAGGTAAGCCTGGGGTTGAGAGGACAGGCAGGTTACTTGTGATGAGGCACTCTGAATTAAGCCTGCATATTTCTAACACTCTCTTGAGGAGGCAAAAACATCAAGGGGGAATCTTTATTATATTAGCGCTGGAGAAAATGGGCATAAATGTCCCATTTCCAGGGGAAAAAAAGTGCCTAATGCACACACAAGAAAAGTTGCTGCTAATTGCATACTGCTACTGTTGAATCTATGATGTAGCACATGCTCAAAATTGCCCTTTTGTTCCAATTTAGCTTTAAAATAAAGATTCCCCCTTGTTGGCAAGGTTAGATGTGCTGGTCCTGTCAGGAAGGGCTGTGGTAAGAACTGAAACAATGTGCTTAACAAAATTTTTTTTGAACAGTAAAAACAGAACTGGATTTCAAAAATCAACTTCTGTATCACCATAAGAGAGTGATCCTGGCAGGCAACATCCACTCCTCAGTGCAAGCTGTGCTACACCCCAAGCTTTCATCAACACACTGGCAGGAACACACAGGACAGACAAGCCATTTGGCTTACAAAACCGAGAGCTTTCTGTACTATGCACCAAGAGCAAGTAACTCTTTTTCTGTTTTCAGCTGCTAAATATTCTTATTCTGGAATGTATTCAATTGTATTTCAAGGTGGCTGTAGCACTCTCAGTAAAATGAAGTATGGTGGACTTGCACTGCCAGGATTTGTTCTTTCTCCCTGATTTATTGAGCACAGTACATCTTTCACAGAAGTTTAACTACTTACCTCACTCCGTGTATCAGGAGCAGCCTCCAGAGGATGCAGACAGGCATGAGTAACCTTGATGACATGCTCCAATTTTCGAGGTTGCTCCTCTACCTTGGCTGCCAGGAAAAGGGCAGCTGGTGCCACAGCCTTTATAGAGAAGAAAAGTATTAATAAACCCTCTTGTCAAACAGCAAATCACACTAGTCTGAAATGTCCGGGGGGGGGAATCTATATATGAGAACCAAGGGAAAAAACTGTTTGCAAACTGCTGAAGTAAGAATGTTCCATCACCTTGAATTTAAATTAGCATCTTTTCTGTCTACAAATTTCTTGTAACAGAGTAAGTTATTAGGCGAGCATAATTTTTTCTGGGCGCATGTTGATTATTGAATGAGGACCACAAAATAAGTCTTAGCAACTTAAAATCTACACAAATCCAGCTATCTCAGAGTCGGAGGTCAGAATAAGGACTATGCAGATTTCTTATAAACTGTTTATGGGAAACCAATCATTCTCCGTTGTGATGCCCAGAGTTTAAGACTAAACGTGACTGTTGTCAGGCATCCAATTAAAGTGTCACTGTTCTAGCAAGCACTTCATCAGATAATGCCTGAAAGTTTGCCCCATGTCATTTGTTTGCTGATCGTTACTGTTACATTCTAGAGTACCATTGTCTTATTGAGTATGCTTTATTACTGATATATGCTAATGAGTTAATATATTTATTTGTAATCTACTATAATTGTTTCATTGAAGATCTCTTTAGATAAAAGTCTTATTTTTTTTAAAGAATAAATAACCTCATTACCACTTGTAAGCATGTAGAGCTTAAGCATAAACTTGATGGAACCAGTTTCTGAAGATTTAACTCCACATAATATTTTTCAATAAAGTTCTATTACATCAACACTATGCACATATTCTCCTTCCCTTAATTTATTAGCCAAAAAGAGAGTATATAATAAAACTATTCAGAATTCCAGCTGAGAAACAGAAACTGTTAACATGATACTTACATTTCGATGAAAGTGGGTAAAGGACTGAACCATGTAGAATCGATGCATATAAACAATTGCAGTATTAATAGTCAATTGAGAACTAGTGGTTCATAATTAAGGAAGATGTTAAATTTAATAGTGCATATTCTTAGCATGATTCTCCTTAAGAAAAGCTTATATGAAAACTAAGTATTAAAAAGGTTTGATTTCTTTAAACTTAGCCAAGAATACAAATTATTTCTGAGTAAAAGTATACATAGATTTACCCAACTAGAAACTCTGACTTAAGACCTTATGTAAATATTTGGCCAGTCTTAATATATACTACAAATATACACATTAAGCCTGCTAAATTGCATCTTTAAAAGTTGAACAAAAAAAGCTTTGTATAATTATTAAGGAGTTCAACATTTATTCAGCCAAAATGTTAAATATCAATATGGCTAGATAGTATTGCTTGGGAAAAAAAACCTCATAAGTAAATTAGTACTGTATTAGTGTTCAAATAAAACACACGCACAAGGGAAGGATGGTTTTTCTCCCACCCCCAAACATTACCAAATTTCAAAATTATGATCCAAATAATCCAACATGCAAGCAAATGCCTCTGCTAGTAACGTGGTACTAATTGCTCTGGGCTTTTGCAAATCAATTAAGCCCCAATTCGAATTCCATGGGCTTCAGGGCCTACTTTTCCATCTAAACCGTAACTGCGCCTCACCCCCCTCCGCAATATGAGCGGAACGTTCCACAACCACTGCGCGAATTTATCTGTTTAGCGCCTCCAAGTCAAGCTCCTTCGGGGACGCGGCCTAAGGCACGCCAGCCATAAACACTTCCCCACCTAGCGGGGCGACTGTCCCTTTTAACACCTCGACTTCGTGAGACGCGAAGTCCTCCGTCCCCCGTAAGCCTAACAGTCACCCAAGCTGTTTACGTGAATCTCCGGCGGGCCTAGTCCCCTTTCCGCCACCCTGCCCAGCCCAATCCCGGCTTGAGGCGCGGCCTAGTTGCCGAATGGATACACATTGAGGCGCTGGCCCATATCCTGAAGCAGGTTAGCTGCCTGCTGCCGGTACGATAACTCCTTGTCCGGGTCGAGTCCTAAGCGCCAGGAAGGACTCCGAGCGAGCTGCTCCCGGGTGAAGTACCAGCGTCTTCCCCCGCCCGCAGCCGCCGCGCTACACACCGCCATGATGGCTGCCGTCGCCGTCGACAACAACGCATGCGCCGCGGAAGGCACGCGCACACCGGCCAGCGTTCACGTGATCGCGTCTAAGTTTGCTGTCGCATGCGCACTTCTTCCCCAGCACACAGCAGGGGGCGGAGTCTGCATCTCGAACTTCCGGTATTAACTTGACTAGGTCGTTGTACTGCACGCGCACCGATTGGTCATTTTCTGACCTATCTGTGATGACCGCTGCTTTGGCTTCTGGATGCAAGAGAGAAAAAAACTGAACAAGACTTCGTGGCTACAATAATTATCCAGTTTTTTTCTCTCCCTTCCCTATTCTCTACGCTGTGCTTAACATCCAGCCCCCTAACATTTTCTAGAGGAGAACGCTGATTATTTTGTGACCTTTTGGCTCCTAAAAAGGTTTTAAAACCACAGTGGACATGAACACCCTGACTTCTGATTTGATTTGGCACCCATTGTTGTGACAGACTCAGAAGATGGCTGTATACAGCTGAGTCCTGGATCTGAGCTGGTTTTGATTAGGCAGAATTTGATTAGATTTTTGCAGCTGGTGCAGAGGAAGCTTGATTTGCTCCAGAGACTCTCAAACAAACAAGCAGTGATTGGATCCAGCTTTCCAGCTTTTGAATATCTAATACAGTAAAATAAAGATTCCCTCAAGACAAGACCATGTAGTTGGCTTGGTAACATTATGAAACTGTTTGCCGCTGTCTTTTTCCAGGGTGCTTAGTCTTGCCTGCAGCCTTAGAATTTCCTGGTAGTCTTTCATCCAGTGACTGACCAGGTCTAACCTTGCTTAACTTTTCTGGGGTCAACCAAGGCTGGCTAGTGTTGCCAACTGGCAAGCAAAACAAATACAATCAACCTTGAGCCAGTTGGGAGTATTTTTGCATCCTTTGGTGTTATATACAAATAAGTGCAAGTCGATGACAAAACAATGGGGAATGGGGTTCCAAAATAAACAATTTCTTCAGTTACATCAAGTTATATTACCTTAAGACATCACAAACTGCTTTCTTAGGTAAGGAACTGAGCAGTGTATCACCATGGTAACAAAGCAAACATGCTTCAGAAGCCAAGAAACAGAATGTTGCAGTTGGATACAGTTGAACCTACTGAAACACAAAGCCCAGATAATGGCTTTTTTCGGATTAACTTTTCTAGGTCCTCAGGATCCCTTTCGCGATAAAAGACTATCATTACCAAAATATGAAGTGCCAGGTAAGGACATTACCTAAATACATTTACTTTATCAGAAAAGTTCACCTTTTTGTTTCTTAGGATTTACTAACAGCAGCTGTTCTGCATATTTAAAGCAGTTTAACCATCATTCAGAAAATTATTACATTCAAGCCAGAGACTATGCATCTTTAAATTAATTTCCCAGCACCGTACCAAACCATAGTTGCTATTAGTCTTTGTAGGGAATTCATGTTGTTAAATGAGGTATTCACCAATAAAAAAAACCATGAATTTGGAGCATAATTACTCAGTATTGGACATTATATCTCAAGTGTCCTTTGTATGTCCCTGACACAGATGTTTTAAAAGGCAGGATTTCAACAGAGAAAATATCAGTCCAATGAATATTGGTAAAATTGTTGGACTAGGCCCCAAAGAATAACACTTTATTTTGAAATTGTAGTATTTATTTTCCTCCAACACCCACACACACCTGCGCACTGAAGTATCTTTAGTGAATAAGAAAGTGGATGAGTTTCATTCTTCATCACAGATTTCAGTTTTTAACTGTGGCTCTTGTTCCTTTTTGGCCTGCCAGTACACCAATTGTTTAGCTCCCCTTATTTTGGCTGTCTTGTGCTTTTTTCCTGTCAAATAGGTTAGGGTTATCGATTGATGGTTGACAGTCACCTCTGTAAATATATGTATCTACTCCCTAATCACAAGAAGGATATTGTACCAATTGATTATGTCTGCAGTGGGCAAAATCTTTTTGGTCATCAGATTTTAACACTAGTGGTAAACAAAAAAGGAACAGGAACCTTAGTTGCTTATGTCTGTGTTTATATAGTAGCAGAAGAAATAAGTGCAGTTATGGGACAGTTCTACCATGGCTCAGCCTGTTGCTATTCTTGGAACTATAGTTACCTTTCCCAGTTGGACTAGTGCTAAAATGATGGAGATGTATAGTTCACCTTGGAAGAAATAGTGAAATCTTAGATTATAAGCTCTGCCGGACAAATGGCTTATACAATGGTACCTCGGGTCACAAACGCTTCTGTTCATGACCAATTCGGGTCACGAACAGCTCTGTTTGCAAAATTTTGCTTCCGTTTGCGAACGCCGGATCGGGTGACGAACAGGATCCATGGCCATTTTCCCTCCCGTGACACGTGGTTGTGGCTTCTTGTAGGGAGGGGGACTCTCCCTCCAAGCAATAACCGCCTCCCCACCCGCCTTCCTGTCCTCCATGCCAGAAGTCGCGTCGAGCAAGGTTAGCATTCTCTCTCTTC